CGCGGAAAACAGGTTTCTGGAGTTTTTTTTTAGCTTCTATATGTTACTATGTTTCAAAGTGCCCACTCAGAGGCCTGCAGCGGCAGGCGGGGAACGTTGGAGTCTGCCGTCACTGAAGCAAGCAAGCCTCATGTTCAGTTTAAGCTGCCTGGCTGCCGGTAGCCATCTTGGCTGTCAGTTAATTTGCATATCGCCCTGATTAGCCAATGAAAAGGGTAGCAGTCGTATGCCAATTACCATGTTTCTCTTTTATTAGTGTAGATAGTGCTGAGTCCATGTACTAGGTTTTACAGTGACTAAAAATTATTAATAATTGATCAAAATTAGTGAATCAACTCTGAGAATATGGTTCACTTACTACATATTAACACCCCTCTAGCTTTATGCATTTTTCCCCCAATCTAATTGGCTTAGGAAAATGTTACAGACCAATATTCTGTTTGGAAAGATTCTTTTGTTTAGAGAAGCGAGCATACCCAGTATACTGTTGGCTTATAAATGTTAAAAAGTAAATTACTTAAAATTTTACCAATTTTACAAATATTTTTATTTTGGTCTTTCTAGAATCTGTGTTTGTGGATATCCCAGACAACATGTAAGAAAATACAAAGGTGTAAGTAGCAGGATACCAGTTTCTTCAGAATTCATGGTGCAGATGTTAACAGGGATTTATTTTGCTTTGTAAGTTTATTTCATATACAAAGTAAATATTTTATCTTTTTGGAAAATTATAGTTTGTTGTTTTATTGTTACTATATACTTACCTCAATAGATAAATAATTGGCATATATTTGTGAAAGAATATCAATCAAGATCTTGATAATAGTTGTATTTCAAATGTCTTTTAATGTTCTGAAGAATTTGCATCCAACTAAAACACTTCATTTTTTTAAATTTAAGAACAGAATGAAAATTAGCAACACCTAAATATACGCACAGTTCCTTTTTTCATTACTCTTTTTGCTGTAATTTTCAAATAGCTTTTTTCCACCAATGAATATCTTTTTCCATTCTAGATATTTTAACTCTTAAAAAACAATTTAAAGCATCTTTGATCACAAATAATGTATTATTAGTTTCTAATATTGATGCTCAGCCTTAATGCCTTATATACTAGTATTTTTCTTTGAACCCTATCTTTTACTTGGTAATTCTCTTATTACACATATCTTACTATATTTTTTATTATATTCAGTTGGTACTTTAACTTTCCCTGGTAGATTATAAACCTCATGAATGAGGCAGAATTTATGATCTTTGGGCCACATCTGGACTGCTGCCTGCTTCAAAAAAAATTTTGTGTGTGTGTGTGTTATCTATGGCTGCTTTTGTGCTATAGTGACAATTGAGTAGAGACTGTATGGGCCACAAGCCAAAAATATTCATTATCTAGTCCTTTAAGGAAAAAGTTAACCCCTGGGTTAGACCTTTAATATTGTCCCATTATACTCACACACACACTTGTTTCCTGATATATTGCTAATATTTGCAACATACATCACGTACACTTCTAAATGACTACCAAAATACAAAGAAGTAACTACTTAGGATATTGCAAGCCACAGTAGTTGTAGATTCTCATTAAAAACCATGGGAGCCCTAGCTACGGTTGGACTCAGTGGATAAGAGCTTTGGACTGGGGACCGAAGGGTCCCAGGTTTGATTACGGTCAAGGGCATGTACTTTGGTTGCAGGCTCCTCCCCGGTCCAGGCCCTGGTCAGGGTGCATGCAGGAGACAGCCAATCGATGTGTTTCTCTCACATAGATGTTTCTCTCTGTCTTCCCCTCTGTCTTCCACTCTCTCTGAAAATCAATATCCTCGGGCGAGGATTAAAAAATATTTTTAAAAACCGTGGGAGTTAACAGAATAATTTAACCATAAAGTGTTCTGAACATTAGTCTAAGGTATATAATTTACTATGTTCTGACTTGCTTTGAAAGTGTAAAATGCTTTGAGGTTACCTGGCTTATTTTTATATCTGTTTCATAAATGGAAATATCTTTAGAGAAGAAAAGTACATCTATAAAAAATTCTTTTCTATTAATTGGCTTTCAGATACAATTGAAAGGAATTCAAAGATTTAAAAATATGTATTTAAGGAGAGTATAATGCTAAGCAATGTACTAATCTGACCAATTATTTTCCTCAGTAAAGATAGTTTCTCATTATATTTTGTTCAAGTATATAGAATTAATTTAAAATAATTATATTTTATTTATTTAATTTTATAGTTATAATGGAGAATGGGATCTAGCTGAAAAAGCATTGGATGATATTATTTACAGAGCCCAGTTAGAATTATATCCAGAGCCATTGTTGGTAAGTGCCTCATTTCTTTATGCAATTTTTTAAATTTAAAAATTCTCAAATTAGAACTATAAATTGAAGAGTAGCCATTCATATGTCAGTAATACTCAGTGATTCATGCTCCTGTTATACTAGGAAAATTTTTTTATTTGAAAAGGTACACATATAATAAAAATTGACCATTTCATTTGGCTAACTTCTTGGATACCTGATAAATAGTCTTTTTTTTTAACTTATAGGAATATTCTCCTTAACATGCTAGAAGTACACTTATTAGTTAGCATTAAGTATTTGGAAATATAATTTAATCTTTTGAAATTTCATCACTTAAATATCATATTTAACTATAAGTTTTCTTCTGAGCTCTTACTCTTTATTCCAGAGGATTTATATATTATCTTATAGGAAATACCTTGGCGAAAGTATTCTTTTCAAAAACGTGTTAAAATTTAACATCTTGTTTTATCTAAGGTGTAATAATACATTTTTATTTTTTAATACCAATCTTAAACTGTATGTTTCCTTCTTAGGTTGCTAATGCAATAAAAGCTTCGTTGCCTCATGGTGCCATGAAATCTAGTAAGGAGGGTACAAGGTGTATTCAAGTTGAAATCACACCAACTTCCTCTAGAATATCAAGAAATGCAGTAACCAGCATGTCAATAAGAGGTCATCGGTGGAAAAGACATGGTAAGAAATAAAAAACTCTACACATTAGAGGATTGTTGAGTCTATCACATTTTTCTCTGTACTGTAACTCCTGGCTTTAGTAAACAGTATCATAGTGGCATGGAAGAAAGAGTTATTGGATCACTTTTAATTTCTAATTTATTGTCCATGAGTGACAGGCAATAAGGAAAATAGAGCCCCTTATGTTACATTCATGAATGAAAATTTATTTAAATGTTGCTATTGGTTTTAAAATTATATTTCCATAGAGAGAAAAGTAGAAAAATACATTTAAAAATTATTCATACATTTTGAGTTTCTATTCACAATTACTTGCAAATATTTCTTAATGTTTCTGATTTCTCAACCTTCTAGCAGGTACACTTGCATATTGAAGTAGAACGACTAACATTTTCTTCTGGATTTTCTGTAAAGGATGCCATAGTATTGATGCAACTCTAGACATTTCTGTTTTCTGGAAGTTAATTTTCTTCAAAGATTGTCTGTTTAATATTCCTCCTTGACCATTTCGTTTTATTATTTGAAAATTCTATTGGAAATTCATTTTATTCACCATGGCCTTCTCAATGCTTTCTATTTCTCTTCTCTTATAATTAATTATTTCTTATTTAATTTCTTATCCTTTTTATAACTTCCCTTCTATCTAGAAGTTATTGTAGTGGCAAATATCTGTGTAAATATCAGTGTCATCTTTCTCAGAAGATAATAATAGAGTGGGAAGCAAAAAGCACTTCTTTGCCCTAAGCAAACATTGATTAGGAGTAAAGCAAAATCAGTTCTCTATTTTCTTCTTCCTATAAATTGATGAAAATGTTAGCTCCTTTTGGTATATTTAGTTATATTTGTCTCTAGGGTCTCTCTAGAGAAATGCAAATGTGAGAAGAATGAGATTATTTATGGTGAAATAGAAAGTTGATGATGAGAAAAGTTGTCACTGTTCTTTCTCAGGGAAACTAGGAGATAGTATGTCAAATAAAGAATAATGATGAAAATTTCCAGCTTAATCAATGATCACTATGAATCTTTTTTCTTTAAAAGTAGTGTGACAGTTCTTGAAGGTCCTTTAGGAAGGCATTAAAACGATGGTAATGTTTGCCATTAGCAAGGCAAATCGTTACTATTTAAAACAAGCAGATACTTCAGTTTCTTGAGTGAAAATTGTTACTGAATGGAACTAGATTATAGGTATAAAGTAATTTAATTAGATATGGTAATACCTTAGAGATCAGTGTTTTGTTTGGGCATAAATAGGTGAATACAGGCACAGAGGCAATGAACCAGATCATATGGGTCATTGTGGACATAATGGCTTCCAAAATACCACTTTAGGAAATGTAAGAATGAATTTTAATTCCTTTGTTTACTTTCCTTTCTTGCTATTTAAGTGGGCATATTGGGAATTAGGAAGAAAAATATGGGTCCTTCAGTTAAAAATGTAAAATATTTAAGCTCAATTGTATTTGTGTGTGTGTATGTATGAGAGAAAGAGAAGGTGCGTGAATGGGTCCATGCATGCATTTAACAGAAAAAGATGTGCACCCTGCAATAAAATAGAAGGCATTTTTCCAGAAATAATTTTAAAGGAATAAATTACCAAAACAAGAGAAAAGAGAGTTTGAGGTATATTGTATCTATTAGGTGCTTACATATTTTCCAGATTACATTTTGGCCTCCACTTGGGTAGTTGGCACTTAGGGCTACAGCTTCATTAAAATAACCTTCCTTATCATCTGTTCCCTTATACTTATTCAACCTTCACAACTCTAACACTCCTGTTTATGGTAACAAAAAAGTCACAGATGAGGATTTAGTAAGAGAATGAACTATAAAAAGAAGTCAGGTGAATGGAGCAGATACAGTATATAGCTCTGTCTTGTTTTCCACTTCTGTAGTGTGAGTTCCCGTTATCCAGTGGACTCTAAAGTATTCCTAGTCTAAGGTCCTTATTTATCTCTTCAGGTAGGTTGCATTCTCCTGTTTTTTAGTGTAGCCTTGGCTTTCCTTTTTACAGCAATACTTTTCATTGTTACCTTGTTTTGCTGAATTAAAAACTTTTCTGTTTTCCATTTTTGTAGTCCTGATTCCTGCTTGAACACCTTATTATTCTGGGCTCTTTAGCTGATACTGGCTTCTTATGGGGAAGATAAAATATCTTTGCTCTAGTTCTTACATATATAAATAATTATCAAGTTATACTTAAATTTATGTATGTATAAATTATATTTATTACATTCATATATAAATTACATATATGAATTACAATCAAATTTGATTTATTTATACATTATTTTTTGCAGAAACAATGCTTTTTATCCCTTAATGTTTCTGAAGCAGAGTACTACAGACTGTAGGTTTAGTTTATGACTGTGAAAACACATTTAGAGTTTATTTGATGGAAATCTAATGCATTTCCTATTTAACTTATATCCATACTACTCCCTTACCAAACCAAACCTCCCAGGGAGAGGGATATCTTCCCAGACTTTGAACTGTATCACACAGTAGGGACATGGAATATCCAACTGTAAGCCTACGAGATTAGGATTGGGGAAGAAGAAGGGAGGAGAAGCAGGAACTTTAAGGAAGAGTCTTTTTCCTTTTCTCCTTGCCTCTTTGTTACTGCTAGGAAAGAAGAAAGCAGTTGGCTCCTTTAATCCCCTTTCCTTGAGTTTCTTCCCCCCTTTTAATCTTTTTTTCTTTTATTTATTTTTTTAATTGAGATATAATTGATATGTAAAATTATATTAGTTCCAGGTTCACAACACGATTCAATATTTGTATATATGCGAAATGGTCCCCACAACATACCGAGTGAACATCCATTGCCGCACATAGTTACAAATGTTTTTTTCTTTTTTGTGATGAGAATTTTCAGATCTACTCTTGTAGCAACTTTCAAATATAAAATATAGTTTTATTAATATAGCTGCCATGTTGTACATATGCAACCCTAGGACTTTCTTTATATATAGACTAGAGACCCAGTGCACGAAAATTCGTGCACTCAGGGGGTCCCTCAGCCTGGCCTGCACCCTCTTGCAGTCTGGGACCCCTTAGAGGATGTCCACCTGCCTGCTTAGTCCTGCTCCCTGGAGGACTGGGCCTAAGCTGGCAGTCAGACATCCCTCTGGCAGCCCAGGAGCCAGGAGGTCTCATAGTGACTGGTTCGTCATAACGACTGGTCATTCCACTGTTAGGGTCAATTTGCATATTACCCTTTTATTATATAGGATATATATATATATACCTATTGACCAGTGGACCACTTTCACCCATACCCCCCAGTGCTCCCCAACCACCAGTCTGTTCACTGTATCTATGAATTTGGTTTTTTCTTTGTTTAGATTTCACATCTAAGTAAGATCATATGGGAGTTAGCTTTCTGTGTCTGACACCTTATTTCACTTGGCATAATTCCCTCAAGGTATATCTATGTTGTCATATAGGATTTCTTTCTTTTTTATGGCTGAATAATATGCCATTGTAAATGTTCCACTTTTTCTTTTTTAAAAAATTGAAAGGATCTGGTTTATTATTTCTTTTTATTATTGATACCTACCTGTTTGCATAAATGAGATATACAAGTTGAATCTCTCCTATTTTCATGATAAGTGGGGATTAATCGAGAAAACAAGTATTAAAATAACATTCTAAAAAATCCTGATTTAATGGTAACATAAATGTGAGATAATGGAATACTGTACTTCAGGACTATAGAAACTACATTTATTTTGTAAATATGATTTTATGACTTTATGAGAAAATCATTTAGTGGAAACAAAGTTGCTAATTGTTATAAAAGCATTTTGAAAAATGTAGAAATGGTCATTTTAAACCCCTAAGTAGCAAACTTTAAAGAATTGGCGATTGGAATTTTACATCTGCAATTAGAAATGAATAAAGCTTATGTTGTTAACTTAAAAATTGTCTATACTTATTAATAAAATTTAGGAAAACTAGCAGTTTTAAAAAAGGTTTAAATATTTTAGTATAATTTTGAGAAGCCCCATTATTGTCAGATGCTAAAATGCTATTTGAGGAACAAATTTTCCTTTCCCAATATAGATGATAAAACATTCAGACCAAAAATAAGAATTTCCTTCTGGCCAAAGATAGCATTGCATGAATTTTAACTGGCATTCTTGATATGGAACTTTATACTCATGAAGGACAAAATAAAATATTAGGAAATATTAGATGACTAAAAGAAAAGGGACCTATTGACCAAAGAGCTAAATATCATGGTGGTGCAATTTCCTCATATGAACATTAGGTTTAAAGAGGAAAGAATTCTGGCTTAGCCAACTTTAGAAGAAAACAAAAAACTTTTAGGCTATGTCTAGGTAAAAGTAAAATAATTATCTATACAGATAAGTAAAATATTTTATAGATATTGGTTTTAGGCAGATACACTCATTTGTAAATTATTGATTTATATTTTTTACTAAAGAGGTCATATGTAATTCTTGCCATCATTAATGAAGTTATTTATTGTTACTTATTATTGAGCACTACACCATCCTCCCAACCCCCCCTTTTAGAAGCATTTGTTGCACACTACACACACAAGATGAAATAAGCTTTTATAGATAGTTTTACAATAGATGTTGCTTACCTGTTTTTGGTCTGTCTGGTTATGAGGATCTTTAATCATCACGAAGAATTCACCTGGTCCAGCAGCATCCATGTTGCAATTCTTGAAGGGATTTTTTTTTTAAACTTGAGACTTAATAAAGATGACAAAAATTATTGAGAGTGACTGAATCTACCTCAGGAAGGAGAATTGTATCATTTACTATATATGCAACAAAAACTAAAGACTTGACTCTTGCACTGGCTTGTGTGACTCAGTTGGTTGGAACATCGTCCCATACACCAAAAGATTGCAGGTTTGATTCTGGTTCAGGGCATATACCCAGGTTGTGGTTCTATCCCTGGTCGGGGCATGTGTGGGAGGCAATTGATAGATGTTTTTCTATCACATCAATGTCTCTCTCTCT